CTCCTCCCGCACACACACACACACACACACGCTCACACACACGCTCACACACACATACACACACCACCCCCTGTCTGCCCCCCCGGGCCGACACGCTGCGCCCAGGAAACGGTGGGGCACTGCCAGAGCCATCCTGCCAAGGGATGTCGGGACCTTAAATGCTTTTGGGGACACAAACACCAGCCGGAACCCACAGCTGCCAAAAAGTCCAGCGCGCTGTGCTCTGGCACCCATGGGGTCCAAAACCAGTCTCCAGGATTTCAGTTCCAGGGAATTTTTTTAAAGTCAGGAGCACTGGATCCTAAATTACACCGTTTATTACATATCACGCTTTTAATTTTAATTCAGGAATAAACAAGCATAGGGCAACGGTATGGCCCAGAGACAGAGCCATAAGGAGTGAGCATCCCCCAAACAGTTTATTGAGTTTGTTTGCAGGCCTTCCCAGCATGTCCCCAAGTCCTGCTGCTATGTCACCTATTATGGAACTACAGCAATCCATAGCATACCTGGAAGCAGACCCATTACACACACACAGCGACCAGGTAGCAAACAAGCTCAATCCAAATCCAGAATTAACACAGGCACCTGCAGTACACAGGGAAAATCAAAGCCTGAATGCCATCTCATGCTTCAGCACTGGAAAAACGCAAATTTGGTACCTTGGGTTTAGTCCGTATTGGTCTGCGATACCCTAATTCCTACTTCTTAAAGGAAGACACAGCAGCTGCCATTACTGCACACTGGCACAGAAGTACCATCATAAAATATACACTGTTTCCAGGACCCATGAGCTTTGGGCCAATCTTTTGGCAAATTCTGTCAGGTGAGCAGAGATTTACTGTCATGTTCTGTGAGAAAGCTGCTGTTTCTAAGTCACAACAGAAAGCCCGATTCCAATGGATCCAACATCAGGGTTACGCCAATCTCTGCCACTTTTGGCCTTGTATCAGACTGGACGGAACCCACAGCTACTTTCTCCTGAGCAGGAAAATAAAAATCCAAGGATACGCTTAGTGCCTGGAGTTTTTTGACAAACCAGGACAGTAGCCATGGCTATGTTTCCCTGCTAGTACTTTTGTGGAGGAGTTTTGAGATGGAGGTGTCAAAACCAGAGAAGACAGCAAGGTCCCTGTGCTGCTTCCAGCATTTCACAACACGAGAAGGTGCCGTGAATCCAAATGTTTTGGTGCAAGGAGGGCGCTTCCCTTTACGCTTTGCAGTGATGCAACTTAGTAGAGCTAAACCGAGTAATTTTGAAGGTCCAATACTTTCTAGAAAAGGTCAGATTTGTCACACACTAAGTAATCAGCTCATTTTTCAACTGAGATTTTTTTAAAAAATCCTTCTGTTTAGCTATTCTTCCCGACTGAGCTGCCTTTAATTACCTTCCACTTCTCTGACTACATGCTTGCTTTTAATATGCAAACAACACTATAGCGTCTGCTCATAAGGCAGCAAGCCACATTGCTTTTTTTTTTTTTCTTTTTGTCATTAATTAGTTACATTGAAACACAAGACTTTCAACTTCCTTCTTCCACTTTTATCTTTTTTTATTTTTTCTTTTTGGTCTTGCACAAGAGACTTCGGAATAAATTTTAAATTAGGCTGATGTTTACTACCTAATTCACGGTAGTGGAACCGAAATGCTGTCCGTCCTGCAGTTCTTTTCAGGTTGCTTACAGAAAGGATAAATGAAAAGCAATTAGATTAGGGATCAAACAGAATCACCCTTCGGGAATTAGGAAGTCTTCAGTCTTATAAAACGGGGACAATTTCTAGAAATAGAAATGGTTGGCTT